TCCCATCATGCCAGGGGCATCTGTAACAATGAAGAATCTTCCAGCTCAAAGTCATTCAAGAACTTAAATACTTGTGAGCTAGTTTGCAGTTTTGACACAGATAAGCATGCTCATTTCAAGACTCTGGCATCATACAGGGGCAAAAAAAAAGTTAGTGCTTGAATATTTCTAACAACTCTGCACAGTAAAGCAGTTCACAAGGGAGCCCCTGTAGAAGCCTTCGTCTAGAGACAAGCACCCGCTATTCACTGTTTCCTCTCTGCCATGGCCTATAACCTGGAGAATCTGGGTACAGACTGAGGTATACTAAACATGTTGTGTTTTCCATTTCCTGCTAGGCATGCTGATGATGGTGACCACAGAGTGGTATCTTATCTATGTCCATCATGCTCTCTTCCCCCCCAAGTTCAGGCCTGCAATGTTTTTATGCTAGATGAGGTCCCCAGGACCTCACTATGGGAACTGAGATACATATCTCCTACAAGTATCTCCTACTCTGAAGGGCAGTCTCGATGCCTCCTTGGAGTTATATATAACTGATCTTTGTTCTGGGGTTCAGAATCACCTGCAAACACCTCAAGTCTACCCTACACACAAGCCCACCAAGAGCCATAGCTGTTGGAAATAGAGCTCAAGCTATACTGGCCATGAAGACATAGAAAAGGAACCAGTGTCTGAAGCTCAAAACCAGTCATGTTGCACATGTAAAAGCACAGAGGTCTCTCCTGGTGAGTACAGAGTCCAAGTCCATCACCCCTCACATTCAACAGGCCATTGTCTGGTTCACAAGACAAATCCCATCATAAACAAGTGATCGCTAACTCACTGCAGAGCTCAGGTAAGGATTATCTGAATCCAGACTGCAGTCAGATGTACTTCAAGTGCATTAATACCCTACCTTCCCAAAGCCCAGGCATACTAACAAAGGGTCTGCCCAAAATTTGCACTTACAGACACAACTACCACCTTCTGAAAGCTCCTGTCTTGAAAGCTCATGGTAGAAGTTACCTTTAAATGTCAGAATAAGTAATTCAAGTCCCCCACGGATCAGGGAAGATAAGAAGATCAGGTTCGAAGTCCCAACACCCCACTACTTGCCCTAAAGCAAGCATTTTGAGCTGAAAGTCTCCAGTCACATACCTGCCCCCTCCACTGTCAGAGTAAGCTGATTGCTTTCTATACCAGCTGCTTGGTGATAGGGGCCACTCCCGTGCTCTGCCATCATCACAGAATGATTCCATATCTCTGAATCCTTTGGTTCTAGATCCAGCTAAGTCTCTTAACAGAGGTCAAAACCTATGAGATGTCACCTAGGCTTTTTAAAATAAAGTTAGTAGTCCTATATTCATGGAGGGACACGGTGTGAGGGAATAAAGGAAAACGCAGAGAGATGGCTGGATATTTGAATCCCAAGTATTCCACAAGCTGACAACTATTCTCCATTTGTCAGGGAGTAGACATTGATCAACTGCAACAATCACAGAATTCATGTTTTGATCATGGTTCCTATTAGGTGTGAGAAACAAGTAGGCCCTTATTTTAACTGTGTGGGGGTTATCTACCTGAACGTTATGCAACCTAGCACTAGAGTACTCTCAGATGGAGTGGTGACTGGTGACACTTGAGAGACAGAGAGAAAAGGGATGGGAAAGCAGAACATTTGTCACGGTTCCATTTAGAGCATTCTACGACCACACCTGTGCTATGATCACCAACTTCTTTCCAACAATTTTATCTTATCATGAACTTGCCAACAATCATTCACGTTGCACTGAGCAATGATTCATCGGCTCATGTCAGGCCCAAGTGATCCAAAGACAACTAAAGATTTCTTCTCCTTAGCTCTTCAAACACTTGAATCATCTGCCCAGTGACCAGGCAGCTCTTTGACCTATTTTAATAAGGTCATATCCCCCTCCTCTACACTCACCTCACACTGAATAGCCTCTGGGACATTTCAGTACATCTGATCTACCCTTGGCTTAGAACACATCTCTATGGGTAGGAATACCCAACTACCATGTTTCCCAACATTCGTTTTCTATTCTCAGTAAGCCTTCTTCCATGAGCAAAAGCATCCAGGCAAGTATGGACTAAGAATAGGAACTTCTATCATTCTGCTAGGAATGGCTAGACTGTGACCAATGTTGAAAGAAAAAAATTGTACAACTGTCCTCAGAGATGATCTATCAAGTTCCTGGGGGTGGTCAGCCACTAGCCCAGGATGGCTATTGTCTCTGCAACAGCTAGAAAGCAGAGTCTGTCGCTTAAGATAACCAAATTACAGCACAAGACACGTGTATTTCTCCCATGCTGCATTTACTCAGACCAGCTAGGACATGACAGCAGCCTCTATGAGGAAATGAATCCCAATTCTAAATCCGTACTGAGTAAAGAAACATGAAGATATCATTTAAACTCCAAATTGTTTGAAAAACAGGTTAAGGAGCTTCCAAAACACAATAGTAGAGAAAGAATTACTAGAGTTTTAAGGAAAAATGCAAGAAGCTCGAGATCCTGTTCTCTTGGGAAACATATGGCTTCCAACAACAAATAAAAGAGACCAAACTGGCCAGTTTCTGGAATCAATAGAAAACTTATTCCATCATCTAGCCTTTTCCTACTGTCTGTCCTTTGGAAGAAATGCTACGAAAGGCAAGAACATTGCTGGCTTCCACTGGCAATCCACCCCAGTCTGCACCATGCACGAATGCATCAGTGGCCACAGCCTCCACAGATGGATGCTAATAGCATTCAGTCTGGGATGCCGATACTCCTACAGTACACAGCACAACCCTACAAAGACGTGACCTACTTTTTAACATCAATAGTATTGAGCTTAGACAAGAATCTTCTTTCAGGAGAGAATATCATACATTTTGCAGTTTCTCCAGGAGCTGGAAGATGAACAAGAACCAACTCAACTGTTGGTACCCAGAAGAAAAGCGATAAAGCATCTTTAGCTCATCTCCTCAAAACTTCCCCCTAAAATCCCTTCCTATACCATGCATTTCTGCCTTCAAAGGAATGTACATAGGCAGTTAAAAGGCCTGTACCAACTGGTCTCAGCCTCCACTTGTAAGTGACAACGAAAACGTTTTCCTGCATTCAGGTCAGCATCAAAAACAGCACTGGGCCATATCCTTTCTGTGTCAGGAGTTATCTCTGCTGATTTCACATGACTGCTATCTTATCGATTCTGAGCGTAGGCTGCAGGCCTCAACTGAAGTGCTACCATATAGCTATACTGCCCAACACGTGTGGAGGTTATGAGAGCATCACTAAGGATCAAGTGAGCTACTTGAACCTCATGGAAAGTCTTCATACCTGGGACCAACGTACCCAATAGATATAAAACCTCCACTAGCACTTAAGGGTCAGGATGGCATGGGAAAACAGAGCAACTCACATCGTGGCCGTCAAGAAACAAAGGGTCCAACCCCCCAGCCACCTATTTCCCACACCACCTAAACTGTCCAGAATTCCCAAGAGAGCACCACCACCCTGGAACCAAATATATAACATGGGAGCCTGTGGGGAGACATTTCACGTCTGAAGATGCATCTGGCTTCTTCCCATCTCTCCAGCTACTTGAATCCCTGAGTCATCCGGCCACTGCCACCAAGGATCACCATAGAGTTGCTGTGTTGTGTAAGACACAACACACCCTGTCCACTCACCAGGAGAGATGTGTCGTAGCAACCTCAAACCTGGCAATCCTCTGACTTCCTGATGAACTTTATACCCAGGAGCAAACAGCACAGAATAGAGGCTTGCTCAATTTCTAACACCCCACTATCTTATCAATCTTCATTTCACTGAACCATGAAGTCAATTCTTAGAGCTTCTGCTATTCTCTGTAGCAGAGAGAGCGCTGAAGGTGTGAAGTACCAACCCTACCAAGAGGCTACTTGAACAGATATACTGTACAACCACCAGCCTACTTGGACCCTAAAGCCTACAGATGGCTTGATATTACATGTGGTATTAAAATACCTTTTAGTCCCAGTAATATCCCTAACCAAAGAGCTAGAGGATGAAGGGACTATCACTGACTCTGTCCCCCAGAAATGCTGTTCTCTAAAGAACACAGAAATGCTAAAAATGTCCTCTTTTGCTATCAGCTAAGAAGCAGAGCTGATCTATAGGTCTTGTATTAGAAACAGTTTCAAATAGGATACATAGTTGGTTGTTGACATTCAACTAACAGACTATTTGGGGCCATTTGAGTACAAGAGGCCTTCTCAAAGCACAAGGAAAACAGTTCAAGGATACCCTTCATGTCATCCATAGCTATCTAGGCCAATGCAGACAACAGACCCACTAGTGTCATCCTAATCAAGACCCAGAGTGAGTCCCAAGAGGACCAAAAGGTCAGTCAAAGTCAGATCCAAGAGTAAGACATGGAGATGTGCCCGAGTATTATTTCAACCCTGAGCTGTGAGTTTGATGACAAGACTCCAGTACAGTCTTGCCATCTTGCTATGTAAATGATCTACCTGGCCTAGCTTCTAAAAATTGAGGAATGGATTCTTTCTGGGGCGAAATTTCTAGAGTTGTATTCTCTAAAATATCTTCCTTTCAACTTTGAGAAAAAATACACAAGCTTTTAGTACTCCATCCATAATGACACCATGGAAAAACAAGACTATCAGGCACTAGTGGGAGCTGAGCTCAAGTAAAATCAAAATGGTTCTCAAGTTATGGTAATGGCAGAAATTTTTTCTCGTCAGTTGGGGAGTATTGTCAAGAGTGCACAAGACAGCCCCCTGCCTCCTGCTTCATGATCATGAATCACTCTCTCTCTCAAGTATCAGTTCTTACACTCTAGATGACAATAAACAAGTGAGAAACACCCTGAAGTCTTTGTAAGATGCACAGGTTCACATGTACTACCACCCATCTTTCAGATTGTATGCCAGACAGACAGACAAGAGGTAACTGCTGGAATCCTGGCAAGTCACTGCCTGAGCCTGCTGCCTTCCGAAAGCCTCTCTTACCTGGTCCACCACATTGACCACCATGTCCCCGCCCACACTGTAGCAGAGCCTGCTAAGAGGACCGGGCCTTGGCCATCTCTGCTCTGGATGTCCTAACCTTGGATCTCTTTTCTACCTTGTTCAGGGGCAGTGGTTGTCAGAGACATATGGAGGTACTGAAGGCCAGGGTGCAGACCTGGCCCTTTGCCTGCCTCCCCCTGGGGCACATGATGGCAGACTGACCTGGAGATCTTACAAGTCACCTTGGAGGGGCTCGATAGGCTGCTTGAGCAGAGAGTGTGGCCCAGTAAATGCAAAAAGCAGGTGATAGATCTGTGGAATATGTCCCTGGCCATCTGGACCTCAGGATACATAGTGGGGTCTCTAGCCTGCTCAGCGATGGCCCCAACAAGCAGTAGTTCAGTGTACAGAAATGGGGGAGCCGCTCTTTGGGATATTCATAGATGTTGTCAAAGACGATACGGGGTTGTGTCTGTCCTAGCCCACTTGCTCCGGTGGGTCAAGACAAGAAAAGTCCAAGTTCAGCTATGCTCCAAGAAGCTGCAGAGTCTGTCAAACTGCACCTCTAAAATACAAAGCATTCTGAGTGTGCTTCATCTGGACTCCATCCTGGAGATGGACATGGGCGATTTGTGGGATTAACAATGGAAAACATGGTCCTTAATCTGGACAAACCTCTCCATCCTCTCTCTCTCCAAAATGAGTGCAAACATCATACTTCTGGATTCGATTCCTTCTTCATCCAACTACTGCAGCACAAAAATCTCCCAACTTCATACACATGTCTTCCTTTATGGAGAGCTGCCTAAGGTGTTCAGGACTCTGAAGCCCTTGATGACTTTGAGCTCATGCCCACTGAATGGTGCAGACTTGAGGTATCTGTCCCAGTGTCCCTGCACCAGTCAGCTCAAGCAGTGGCATCTCAGCAGGGCATGCATGGATCACTTCAGTCCTGAGCTCCTCCGAGCTCTGCTGGAGGAAGTGGCTGGCACCCTGGAGACCCTGGCTTTAGAGCACTGTGGGGTCACTGAGGCCCAGTTCTCTGCCATCCTGCCCACCCTAAGCCAGTGCTCCCAGCTCAGTTTGTTCAGTTTCTATGGGAACCGCATCTCCAGGGCCTCCCTGCAGAACCTGCCGAGCCACACAGCCAGACTAAGCCGGTTAAGCCAAGGGTTGTATCCAACCCTTCTGGAGATTTATGACCACCCATGTCTGTATCGGTGTGAAGTAAAAAAGGAGAGATTTTCTCAGGTTTCTGTGAGCTTGAAGCAGATCCTGAGGGACATACAGCCAGACCCTAAGGTCCAGATCTGCACTCCTTTAAGAGCTGTAATGAGTGCCAATTCTACAACCTTGCACCCAGTGCTAACTGGGCAATCACAGAGGAATATATATCCCTTTTCAAGGGAGATTAGACAATGTAGGTTTGTGCATGTCAATAGTCCATGTCATTTCCTGTGGTCCCTTGGAAATGAACGTGAGTGTGCTCTTTAGGACACTGTACCTTCTAGAATGGTCACAAACCCCATGCCAATCCCCAAGGATAAAGAAAAGAGGACAGTTTCCTCTGCTTTCTAGTTTCAATGCTAGGAACAATGGTCTCAACAAAGGAATCTGGAGTGGATTCAGCCTGGGAGGAACAAGAGGGAATCCTTGTTTCCTGGATGGTTCTATAGAAATGGCCACTTCCTGATGAAGTTGCTTATTCTGTTCATTTTACTTTATGACAATAAGTTATTGAAGAAAAAAAAAAAGACAATTGCTACCTTAGGGACTGCAGCATCCCAGAGATGACTCAGCTAAATTCCTGCTAAATTTGCTCAACACCTGTCCTCTGCTGAGCAATGCTACTTTCCATAGTTCATACATATATGAAGGTAACAGTGTGAAGGTGTCTATTTCCCACTTTCCAGAGCAGCCACATTTCAACGTCTTGCAAACAACCTGGGGAACCTACTCCACTTGACCAGATGTCAGCTCCCATAGTGCCACCCTGTGGTTCTGCCAAATACACTTTGTTCTGCTTAGTTTCCATATACTACATGCATTTCCTTTGAAAATAAGCAGACCAGCATAGGAAACAACTTTACAGTATGAAGTCAGAGTCTATTCCTCAGTAGTCCCAAGAACCCATCATTGTTATTGAAGGCAACTTCTGTGCAAAGGGTGAGAAAACTTGTTCCCTGTGGGATAACTAAGGTATTCCTGGGTCCTGATCTTAGAATCATGCAAGCCATCTTTGCAATCCTGAAAATGCTATAGCAAGTTGCCACTCAATATATCATCCCAAATGGACAAAGGTTGCCTAACATGAGGTCAGAAGAGCCACATCATTAGGTAAGTAGTTTCACATCTGCAGGTAAGAAGTTTCGTACAAACTCCTAAGTGCCCTACAGCAAAAATAGTAGCCATATCTCCCATCATGAAGAAAGTGAAAGGAAAATACTAAATAACTCCAGAAAGTTACCCCCAATTTATCTCTAGTTAAAAAGTCGGGGGAAAATAAGGAGTTAAAGTATCCAGCCACATTCTCTGGATTCTTGCCTCTACTTCTGAGTACAAAAAGGAGGCAAAAATTTATCAGACAAATCAGAAGAACAATAACACACAAGTGGGTTGGCTTTCAGCTTTGATGGATTTAGGGGTGATTATGCTCCAATGATATCAGCAATCTCCCAAACCACCCAGCTATTTCCTAGATCCTATGAAGGTCTAGATACTATGTTATGGAGAAACAGTTTTGTAGATAACGAGTCTCGTTTCCAGCTTGGCCTCTTCCATTCCCAAGGTATGCAGCGGCCTACCCTTTCTAATCAGAAGAGAATGGACATAAAACCTGTTTTCCAGCTCAAGATGACAGGAAGAACACTGCAGGACAGCAAGCACAGAAAACCCAGACCTTAACAAGGCCTAAATCCATTTGTCTCCACAGAAACTGCTTGACCAGAGATGGGCCTCATGGGTTCAGTCTCATTCCTCATACCCAGTGTCCCATTTTAGGACAAAACATATCACTTGCTCAAATACAGCAATCAATATCTGGCCTCCAAGTCAGCTTCCCTAGATTCACCAGCTCTTCCTTCAATAATTCCAAGTCTGTAGAGACATAGTATTCCGTGTCCAAAATCCTGTAGTCCATTTGTAGGCATTTTCTGAGAGAGCCTATCCTTTCTGATCATCTGCCCGTATTCACTATCATGCGAGCTGAAGCCTATCAACATCCTGAACCTCCCTGGTATTATGATCAAATCTCAAGCATTAAACACTACCCATCTTCGGTTTCCAATGAAATTCTGATTCTTGAACACTTTTGGCTCCAGAAGCAAGATGGCTTTTGTCTAGGCAGTACCTACTTAGGTGCAACTTTCCATCACTTACAGTTGTCTGTCCAGTTGGTGGGAAACACACTGAAGCTTAGATTCTGAATCCACCAAATGCTTAGCCTTTGGCAGAGCTTGTCTGCTATATTACTGGAAAGAATACAGGCAGGAGAGAAGTACTTAAGGCAGATCCAGGTCAGGATTACACAGCTTAGAGTCTGAATTCGGAGATGCCCATGAAATCACAGAACTTAGCTTTGGTGACAACTGCCATATGAAATATTAATTGTACAGGACAAATTCAATGAAACAATAGGTCCTGACACCAATAGTGTGGCCTACCTGTTGCCTACCCCCATGATGGTGTCCTGAAAATACTATGGCACAGTGTTTCAAAAGCAATCACCAGGGCTGCCTTTCCTGTCCACCATGACAACCAACTCCTTCTAGCCTGAGCCCAGAATGTGGACACAGCCTTCCTGATGGCTAGCCTCAAAATGAGGGAAACATCATTCTCAATGATGTCAGTCTCCCAAATTACCAAGGCATTCCCAAGATCAAGATAGTGTTTCCCAAAATTTCTGTAGATAAGACTGGAGGGTTCTGGATAATTGTAAAACAAGAAGGCAAGCAGGATAAGCATTTCTCCACTTAACGACTACAATCCAGTGAAGTGTAGTTGCCAGACAAACAGCGAGTTCATTATGAGCCAAGATGATTTCCTGGGATTTGGCTGTTTGAGTGGTCTGGGTTTTTAAGTGTGAAGAATCAGATTTTCATTGGAAACTGAAGGTGAGTATTGAAGTTGGATGTAAGCCTCAGAGATAGAGAGCAAGTTTTTACACTAGCAAGGACAGTTAAGAGTATGAACAAACAGGATGGAAGGCTCAAGGCATTGCAAAGGCCCTTCCCCTTCCATATCTGCTTCAGTCTGTTCACCTCCTTACTCTTCTTGCTGCGAATTCTGCCCAGTGGTGCAAATGGAGGTGGCCCCCTAGAAGCCCCCTTCCTCCAGCTTGTTACCTTTCATAGGAAGGATGTGGCCTTGGAATTAAGAGTCCAGTTCAGCAATATGTTGAGCCTAGTCAGATATGTTTTGGTTCCTTTGCATTTTTCCAGGATGGAGCTTTCAGGAAGAACAAGCAATACCAGCAGAACATTCCCAACTGAGTAGATACCATGGAGAAAGATAGGTTCTCTGTCAAGCTGGATGGAAAGGAGTTTTCTCCAGAGAAACTCAAGATCAAGGTGCTAGGAGATGTGATTGTGGTACCTGGCAAGCATGAAGAACGCCAGGCAGGAGACTTTGCCATCTCATGACTCCACCCCCCATCCAAAAGCCTTCGGGACAAGGAGGGGCCTGGCTTTATCTCCACGGAGCTACATGAAATACTGGATCCCAGCTGAAATGGACCCTCTCATCCCACCCCCGACGACGACGACGGCAATGACCCTGTCCCTCTGATGGGATCCTCACTCTGAATGGGCCAAGGAAACAGACCTCTGGCCCTGGACACACCATTCCCATCACCCGTGAAGAGAAGCCTACTGACACTGCAGGCCCAGAGAAGCCCTTTCTCTAAATTCATTTTTTAAAAATAAAAGTTCTCCACTTGTGAACGAAAATCTCGTGACTAGTGCTCAAGCTTCTCAATGCCAAGGGCAAGCCCAAATTATTAAGCTAGTAAAATACCATTCAGCAGC